AATATATAAGATTGATAAATGTGTATACTGTCTCAGGTCACGACATTAATCATTATTGGTTATACTGAAACTAAAATAAGTATGCGTCAACTTTTCCATACTCTTTTCAGTTTTGTCGTTTGTAGATCTGATCCAAAAATTTGAAAAACAACTCTACAGGTAAGCCTCTGGATACCTGTTGTATGAGAGTTCGTATCCTATTATAACTCTCCTCCTCATGTGTACTGTATGTTAAAGGAACATTCAATTCTTCATAAAGGTCTTTTATTATTTGCACATGTTTTGAATCAGAAGAACCATAGAATTGCTGAAATAAAGCATTGGTGTAAGGTAGGGATTTGAACACCATTAACTGATAATTTAAAATTTTATTATACACATACCTCCATAACTTCTCTTTGTTGAGCATTGGCCCTTTGAAGAGCAACAACTGCCAACCATGTGCATTTCCCTTCCTGAATATCTGTACCTATTTTTCCAGTAATAGAAGGATCCCCATAGCAGTCCAAGAAATCATCCTGCAGAAGACAAAGAAACAGATAAACATTTAAAATCCACAACCACTAACCATCAGATTGCATGGAAGCAAATCAAATTTCGATTTTAATAATACCTGAATTTGGAAAAATTCTCCCATTTGGAGGAGGAGCGTTCTAGCTTGCCTGTGGACTTCAACATCTTTTATACCTGCCTAAAATAGGAAAACGCAATTGATCACACAAGTTTAAATTGACTACTAATACAATTCAAAACTTGACTTACCATGTGCATTGCTACTGCGACTGGAAGAACAAAGGAGTAATATGCAGTTTTATATTTAATTATGGCCCGATACCTATCCATTGTAAACACAGCGAGATCAGGCTTTCCATTATGGGAAGTTTGCAAGTCTAGGGCTTGACCCATGGATGTTTTGTAGATCACCTTTGAAAAATTAATAAGGGATTATTGTTAGGTTGCCAACAATGTTTAATAGAAAAAAAGTAAAATCAACTTACATCATGGAACAACTCTATGAGTTCCAAATAGTAATTCTTTTCTCTGAAATGGGTTCTAAGAAGTTGAAATACAGCACTTTCAAGAAGCACTCCATCATTGAATGCAGCAAGTCCAATATCATTAACTTTGTACCAGCAAGCTTTTCCTCTTCGAGTAGAAGATTGGTCCATTAAATCATCAGTAACAAGAAAGAAGGCTTGCAACTGAAAGTGAAAAATATAAATAGCTGACAATTATCTGAGAGTTCTATTTGCGTATTCGCACTGACTTGAAAACTAAAATTCACAAAGGTACTAACTATTTCAACACACCAACCCAGTATCATGGTTAATCTTTTATTTTCGGGTGTCAAATCACTTTCTTTGGCCAACAACCTGTAAGAGTATACCACAGCCATGGCCCTGTTGCGCTTGCCTCCAGGCACATTGTATTGGAGAACCTGGGCAAAAAGATAATAACAATAAACATAGTGATGGTGAGGAAAACAACACAGGACTCACAACACCACAAGGTGGTGGGTGCACTGCTGGTTTTGGCAATGGTAATTTTTTGTGTAGTATTTAAGTGTAAGCAAGCCATCAATGAATTTTCTCAGAATGGATAAGAGTATTATGAGCTAATACACTCTAGTACAACATGTATACCTTGGAGAGCCACTTTGTGACTTCTGGGATGTCCAAGTGCCTCCCAGCATCCGTTAGATCTCTCAAAAGATCAGGAAATAAAGACATGAATTCACGGCTTTCATCTTTGCTTGCCACAGGATGTATAGCAGCTGGAGGAACAGATGCTACGGTCACTGGAGAAAGTCGGCTGAAACAGAAATGGAAAAATGAAACTACGCAAACAGTTAAATCCGACAAAGACCTGTAAATCACTGTTCACCTCATTCTGGTTAGGGTACAGGCTGGAACCTTGCGCTAGGATGCACCTATGAAGAATGAGGAGCCCAAAGGCGAGGCTCTTTTTAAAGTGAGCTGAAAGATTCACAGACAGTGTGATCCAGCTGAGATAAGTTAAAGAATGGGAATGTATGTAGGCGCTTGCCCTTCTAGCAGCTAGTAGTTGCTCTTGCGCATATTTTACCTGTACCCCAGCGCCATTCAAAGACCCACGTCCACTATCAATAGAAGTAATTTCCTAATGCTTACAAATATCAAATATCCATGCCTAATGCTCTCACCCTGTCCTCAATAGAAAAAAAAATGTGGTGTAAACAAACCAATATTTTTTATATTTTTAAAATATGGTTTATTTCCATGTAAATATCATCGAGTTCTTGTCATCAAGCAAGCATATAATGATTCAAAATAATTCCATTCACAATCTTCTTAGAAATGGGAGCGGTGAAGATATTGAGGAGAGGTAAACACAAATATACGAGATAAAAGCTCACCGAGGAACGCTTTGGTGCCGGTCCAGGACGGACGTGTGCAGCCACCTCTCATTCCCTGAGACTGGCGACAGCTGACCTCCGCAGGTGGACAGGGAAACGGCTCGGCTCCAATTCGCCGATGTGCCCCCCGCGACGGCGAACGCCCGGTTCCTCAGTAGGCTCAGCATCTTAGTGGAGTCGCGATGTTTGGGGGAGGCGCTAAGCGCGGAGCTTTTAGTTTGAATCGGTTCGGCAGCGTCAGCAAGCTCACGTCGCACAGCACAACACAGACGCTTCAAGCACGCACTAGCACGCACGTACGCCACCTCACCTCTCTCCTTCCTTTACACCTGACGAGACTGACTAAACTTTCTGTTCCCGTTCCCGTCTGCCTCTGCCTCTCTCTGCCCCTCACCCCTCACCCTCCCCCCTTTTCCCCTGGCTTGTGCGACGAAAACAAAACAAATAGTGTGCCCTCTATAAACAGATTTCTGTGCAAGTGTAAGTGTCAATTTCCAAGGTGACCAACATCACAAGTATTTTGGATAGAAGTGAAAACACACGTCAAAAGAATATATTGTGCGTCGTCTGGAACATGATTCACAAACATTGAAAAGTAAAATCTTGAAAGAGTTGGTCAAGATAAACGAGTGGCTTCTTTTTGTGTAAAATTATGGCATGAGTAGCAGATTAATTCTGTCGCTACAGTTGGTAAAAAATATATTTCACAGAGAAGGGAACTCAGCAACCGAGCTCAAGTGCTGTCAAAAGAGCTGTCAAAAAAAGTGTTTCGGACTCGGGCTCGGCTACCTTTGATGACAATGGCAACAAAATTGGAAGCAACTTGGAAAGAATGTACCAGTGACTTACCGAGAGCTGTGACAGAATCATGGTGGACAAATATAGTTGAAAAGTATACCGAAGAGCCTCGGAAGTTCCACAATCTACAACACTTGGAGGATAAGATGACTCACTTTGAATCTGTCAAGAGCATTCTTAAAAACCCAAAAGCAGTGGCTTTAGCCATTATCTTCAACTAGTAAGTAATATAAATATTTATATTTACGAACGAGAACTCTACATTCTTTTGGGGGGAGGATTCTTATCCGCCTAAATACATTTGGCTCAACTAGCAGACGACGGTCTAACCTTCCCTTTGTTCTCTCTCCGGTAAATTTTACACTGTAATATTTATCATTGTTCACATTGAAATCTTTCATCATATCAAAGTTATCAATTGAGGCTGATCAACTGTCTGCGTAAAACATTCAAGAATTTTCTCATTTTTTCACTCATTGTATATGTGCTTACGCATGTATCTAAAATTTGTTTTGTCTTTGTTTTTTCCAGTTATGAATATGACCCAAAATCAGTTGACTGTGAAACAAGAAACATTGCCATGTTTGATAAGTTTGCAGAAGATGCTGAAATCCCAAATGTAAGTTTCTTTAGATAGTTTGACAGTAATTCCCTGCAAGGAATTTGCCCTTCTTGTAAGCATGATACAATCTTTCCTCTCAATAGGAATCTCAAATTCATCAAGAAGTAGTTTCCTTGCTTCAAGCACATGCTACTCATAGCACTGATGAACATAAGACAGGGGGCATGTTTGGGGCAGAAGATCATCACTATTTTCTCGACATAGATATGACTCCTCTGGGAGGAGAACCAGAAGACTATGCTCTCTATTCATCAAAAGTGCAACAAGAGTATGGTCCAATGCCAGCCAACCAATATCGCACTTTTCGCCTCCGGGTAAGTTTTTGATTTGTAATTTACACCTTTTGATTTCTCAGCCAAGACAATACAGTTTTTGTCATGAGACTCTCTTTTCACAGGTGCTTGAAACTTTTCTCATGATACCTAACATATTTGCAACCAAAGAATTTCGAGAGAAATTTGAGGAACAGGCAAGGCTGAACATTGCAAAGGAAGTTTCAAGCTTAAAGGCATAAATGTTTCATTATTATATTGCAAGTCACAAGTTAAGATATTTAGCTTTGCAGTGTGTACTGCTAGCCTTGCCAAGTAATTTTCTCTTATGTGTGATGTTGGGAAAGTATTTGTGGTCTTTCAAAGATATATATTAAAAGAAAAAAATATATATATAGGCTCAAATTTGCCAGGGACTAAAAATTTATTCGGAACAAAACTGAGTTCAAAGTAGTTGTTAGATTAAAGACTTATAAATTAATTCTGATTTGACAGAAAAACAATTTCAATCAAAAGCCAATCCATGTCAATTAATTTCTTTCACTCACTTGCTTGGCACTTGCTGAAGCTAAAGTTATCCTACCAGTGTGTACCAATTTCATTCACCTTTCTTATGTTTTTTATTGCATTGATCTGCTCGAATGGCTAGCAATATTGAAAAGGTAAGTATCGAAATCAATGAAAATTTCAACTACTTGAGAACCTGTATTATTTATTACATTCCTGCAACAAATTGACAAGTCTTTTAATCTCAATAAATTTTATTTATTAAAATTTTTATCAGTATTTCCAATGCGCGTGTGTAAGACAGTGCTATAACTATCATTTATTTTGTGATATTGTGATCTTTGTTTTTAATTTTTAATTGTTGATTTAATGTTCATATATGAGAGTTCATTTTCCTTTATGTATGTAGTTTCCATTGGTGACTGGCTCAAGTCATATCCTTCTCTAGTCATGTAGGTGATATTAGATTTTTTTGAAGCATATTTCGTTTTGTGGTTTTAGCATTTTTGTTTTACTGTTTGGTTGACACTTCCGTCCATGCAGTTTGAAAAGCCCTCTTTGGTTTCCTTGTGTACTCTATGTATTTAATACTCTCATTTCCCCCCTATCTTCAATCATTAATTTTTTTTGAAACATTTAACTTCTTACTATTTCTTTCAGTTCATTATCATGAACTATGTATTATTTAAAG